GAGTCTTAAATTATACTCAGTCTGGTAGTCTTACTTTGGCCCTGACCATTGTTTGAAGCACTATTATCAGGAGCTGTGTTGGATGGAGTAGACGATGAGACAGATGTCGCTGCTGCTGCTGCTGCTGCTGCTGCTGCAGATGCCTCCGCAGCTCTGGCTTGCACTTCAGAGACATCTCCTACCACTTCAAACTCCTTCTCTTCTTCAAGTTTATCTCTGTTGAAAAAAATGGGAAGATTGGTGGGTTTTTATCGAAACTAATTAATTAGACCATTTGTTCATGACAGCCTAAGTTCAGGGGACAAAGGTAGCTAATACCTACACAATCCAGTGGACATGTTTTGTTTTAATTACTTAATTTGCATGTTTAATTACAAAAACACTGATCAATTAGCAGAAATTTGGGGCTTTCTTTTCTTTTTTGGCTAGCTTGAGCGTGAGTGTTTTGAATCAACCCTTTGGACAAAACAACAGACTAGACAATTCATAACATGAGAGATTTGAATCAACGCTTTGGACAAAACAAGAGACTGATATTTCATAATATTTGAAATGAAAAGAGGTCTAAATGTTTTGCCAAACATGAAGCTAATGTAGTTGTACTGTAATATTTTTTCAATCAATCATGTACCAGAACATGAAACATTTATATCTATTTTACTAAATTCTGTATCTTGGCTTGGTTAATCAACAGGTGTATACATATGTAAATGTGTGTGTGTGCGTGTGCCTTAATTCCAGAGTTGACAAAAAATGCCACTTACACATGAAGGAGTGTTATATTGAGATTATATTCCTGCAAGAAATCATCACACTTAATACGACTGCCATTCTTGATTCCAAAAAAACTAAGGGGTTTTGCAGCATTCTCTGAAAATAAAATATGACAGCTTGTACAATGTGTATTACATTACCCTCTCAATCTGTGTGAATGTTTTTTTTTTTACTTTTTACTTTATTTTCTTGAACAGCTGGATAAACAGTCCCTAATATGAAAACATGTTGAAATTAAGTTGAAAACACTATTATTGTGAAAAAAGGTCTTATATGTAGTGTAAAAAGGGAAATATTAATTCAACCAGAATTTCGCCCCATTATTATTATCTTATTTATTTATTTATTTTTTTTTGGGGGGGGGGGGGGGGTTAAATTCCCACACAGAAACAAAAATAGGTGTGGGACATGTTAATACTTGTTTTAAGTTTCAAAGGGGTGCACTAATGGCAACCCTGAACTGTCATATCTCTCCCATATGTGCCACCTCACCTTCTGTCTCCCCCTCCTCACTGGATATAATAATTGTCCCTGCAAGACGGAAAAATTTGACTTTGAAAATGTTCTTAAAAATTTTCAAAAAATACAAGTTTTTACTATAATTTGTTATTTGTAGACAAATATAATTTGATTCTTCAGAAAGACACAACCTGCTGTTTTTGGAAAATAAACTACTTTCCACTTTTTGGTCCTCTTTCCAATTCAAGTGTACATACCTTTTCCATCATCTAACTCTACATCTGGTGCAACCAACCCAAACTGTCCTTTTATAACCTGAAAAAATACAGTCATTTAAAAGGCAACTTGAGACCAAGACTTTAAATCAAGCAGCATTCGCAAGGAAAATTAAAAGCATTCTATAAAGTTTTTAGGCAATTTGTTATATTTTTCCAATAATATTTAGATATTACTGATATTTTTGAACATACACACATAATAAATAAAATGAAACAAAAAATACAAAAATTAAAACCTAAGTAATTTATAATCAAATCACACATTCAAATACACTAAGAGTGCATTCACAACAGCGGACTAATAGATCCACAGATCAAATATGGCCGACCCACTTGAATGCTTGTTGTTAAATCCCCGTTGGGAATCTATTTAGTATCTAATTCAAAAATTAAACAGCAAACTTTTAAATTGGTAACCATATTTGATCCACCGATCTCTTAGTCAGCTGTTCTGAGTGCGCTCTAGCTGTGTTAGAATGGAGTCTGGTACTTACTTTGTCCTCCAGAGATTTGACTGTCATGGTGGTTGTGTTGACCTTGACGGTGACCTCTGGTTTGGAGGAGCAGACGTAACATTTTGGATTTGGGGGGTCCAGCATACAAGGAACAAGCAGCTTCTTTCTGGAGTTAGGATGTCTATTGAGGTAGACCTGAAGAAAACCAGACTGATTTTTTTTCTTCTTCCATTTTCTGAACATATTAATAATAAATTGCAAAAAATCTCAACATCAGTATCTTATTTCCATCCTTATATTTTAAGTTCTTCTGCTACTTTGATAATATTTTTTTCATACATTTTCATTTTTAAGGCGGTTTCAAACAAGATTCATTATGTACTCTTTACTTTAAAGAGCCAAAAATTACAATAAAGTTTGTTCTGTTCTTATCAATTTGATATATGCTATTTCAACCTTTTTAAAAAAAATACATGGTGACCAAATGTTCACGTAGATACTTCAAACCTCTCAAAATTATATCTACTATTTTGTTTTCCATTGGTTTCAACTATCTATGCTTAATATTGAGAGGCAAATATTTATAACACTACTTTTTTACAGTCTACTCTTTGTATTTTCTCACCGTTCGGCAGTGATTAATATTTCCAGAGAGGATTTTCAACGCCTCCATGACAAGCAGCCCTGCTATGATGGCATTTGTAGTGGCAATGGCAGGGATAATATTGCCAGCCATGGCTGAAATTTAAAAAAAATGAAATTTTATGTTAAAATGTCAACATTAAACAAACATTTCAAACCTAGTAACTTTTAATTAGTTACCTAACCCCAAGCTTTGCGTTAGAATTTTTTTTTTTACTTTTTCAAGGATCAAAGACATTTTGAAACATATTTGAAATGCTATATTTCACCAAATACTTCAAATTCCACCAATCAAGTATCCACATTTACAAAATGATCTTTCAAAAAACTGTATCTAGTGATCACTTGATTATTCAATGGCTACAGATTTCATTTAAGCCCCCTTTAGACTGGACATGGCCCTGTTTGAGAGTAAAAAAATAATTATACTTCACATGCCAACAACTGGCCAATCATTGAACATTCATTCTACAGGCAAAGCAATGCTTGTGCCTCTTTTCTACAACCACAGCAATGCCAGTTTCATGAGCACATAAAGGACAAAGAAAGGGCCCCGTCCAGTGTAAAAGGGGTTTTAGTCACCAAAAATCGTAAACAGAAAATACACAAAAGATGTTATTTACATTTGATATCAAACCTAGACTTGATAGGAATACCAAAGATGTAGGCCCTAATGTTAGCTGCTGCCGTCACGAAGTCCATGGCTGCAGGCTCATCCTAGAGATAGAAAGAAAGAGAAAGGAAAATTCAGAAAAATGATGAAAATCAATCATTTAATTTAGCCCTACATTCAGTGATTGTAATATGACTAAATGGGTTCAGGGATGCTCAAACTTATTCAAACTCCTTCACATGGTACTTGTTCTAACATTTCAGGCAACTCTTTATCTGATATATCATTCCACATATTGAACAAAGTAAAATTATATCTTCTATTTTGGATAACAAATTAATAAATAGTCCTTTAATTAATAGTGCACATTTCTCTCTACACCTTAAAAAGTAAATCATTAGAAGAAGTGCTGTAATATTTTGCCTGTATTTCACAATAATAATATCATACTTTATGGTTCATAAAAAAAAAGTTTTTAAATGTGTATAATACATTATTTAGTGTTTATATTAATTAAATGTCCTTCACAAAGGGAGAATGAAACCTGAAATCAAAATTTATATAAATTTACAAAATTTGAAGGCCTTCCTATGACAGCTTGTTCACATGATTGGAGTTTCTATTTTTCTGATGTCACATAAAAGCAGTCTCAAGGGTATATTTCTTATTCACCTTATCCCAAACCAGGATTCCTGCATCCCCTTGTTTCTGCAGTTCAGATTTCAGCAAGTCTACACTCTGTTTGAATATATCAGCACATTCCTGAACACTCCATATCCTCTGGTCATGGATGAGGTTCATATTGTCTGAACTGCCACCTACAGTAATTAATTCAAAGTATATAGGAACCACTGAGGCGATATATATCACAGGACACTTAAGCACTTCAAAAGAAGTTAAAGATATAGTCTGGTGGGAAGGAGGGTTTCACGTGCAACCCCGTGAAAAACAGTGAAAACCTAATTTTGCTCTGGCATAAGAAAATGTTAGTTCATTGTCAATTTGCTGATATAAGCATATTGACAAAACTAAAAATATTTCACTGTGATTCATCACACTTGGATGTAATATTTGTTAGAATACAGAGCATAACAGATTTATATATTACATTTTTATCGGTTTAAAAAATTCTCTTTAAACAGATGTTATTGATTTTGCCATAAAATTGAGGTTTATTGCCTAAATTTTACATCTTCAGTTGTACCTCAAAAGCATTTCAAGAGCTTGACCAAATCCTCTACCACACTACATGACAAATTGTTTTACGGTTGCATCTCAATCATTGTTCACCAAATCTAATTGCTAAAAGCTAAAAACATGCTCTATAGAATGACAAGCACCTGTATTTGGCAGACTGTCAAAGTCCAAGGGCTCGGGTGGTCTCCTCTTCTTCCAGAGACTCTCCATAGACAGCAAGTAATGGATGTCATCACGAAATAACTGGAAATCAAATATGAGAATAAATAATTAGTTTATCACATTAACGTAATTAGTCCCATTATAACCAGCCTGGCAGGTTATTAATGTATGTAACATTTTCTGTGAACTGATTCCACTATTAACTATGCTCATTAAAGTACAGTGATCTGTAAGAACAAAACTGATGCCATTACTAATTGTGCTCAATAAAGTACAGTGACCTATTAGAACTGAACTGTTGTCACTACTATTTGTGTTCAATAAAGTACAGTGACCTATAAGTACTGAACTCGGGGGCAGACAAAGGCCATCCTTTGAGTCTTCCAGAAGACTGTCAGAACTTTTCAAGTTTACATTGATGAGGATTTAATTTTTTCGTCGGAAGACGGTCAAAAATGGAGGATGGACCAACAAAGATAATTTGGAAGATTGTCAGAAAATATCTCTGGATCTGTCCCTGGAACTGATGACACTACTACCTGTGCTAATAACTGCAGTTTCACTAGAAGTGTACACAGAAGTGATGTATGCCATTCTTGGAAAAGTGGACTTGGTATGTATTTACAAAGAAAATTTTCTTGATTATGCAATTAATTTTTCATTCATAAAGAATTTGCAGGTCAATGGAGTACTCAAGAATTTGTGCAGACCACAAGATTTTTTCTGTCTGTCCCCAATACCCACCCTGAGCTTCAGAGATAACTTGACACTAACCTCTTCACTATAGCCTATCTTCATCGTGTCAAGTTACCTCTGACCACATTCGATTGCCTCCGCCGCCCGCCAATCAAATTTAAAGCCCGCACTCAATGACTCATTGAACGATCTAGCCAATGAACGCGAACGAGTCAAAGCGCACTTTGTTCAAATCCGGACCAATCAAAGATAAGGCTGAATATCAGGGACATGCCGTAACCTGTGGGCAGCACGCAAAATACATCATCCCTCAGTAGATAATTATGCAGGGCATCAAACTGCTCTGGTTTCAATTCCGATATACTCCATGNCGGTTATGCACTCGGAACTACTCGGATGTCTCCGCACTCGACAATAACTATGTTGTTAGTATGGAGCTTGCGGAATCAGCCGAGGATTGCCGATTGACGGTCAACCAATCAGCGTTTTCACCAAACTTTGGTGAAAAATTTTGAAACATGGATTCGATTGGCTTATATAAACTAGGTCAAACTATTTTCGTCAGAGGTAACTTGACACGATGAAGATAGGCTATAGTGAAGAGGTTAGTGTCAAGTTATCTCTGAAGCTCAGGGTGCCAATACCATGCTGTGCGTCACATATGATCCAAGGGTTTTCCCCATCAAACCATCCAGTCATTATTTCGATGGCTACCATCATCACGGGACAGCCTATATTTTCAAAAAGGGCTTATGACTTTTTTGGAAGTGTGACAGCCTTAGGCATACTTGGAGTCACTGAAATTTTGTAGGCAATTACAGGTGGTACTTTTGGACGGCTTGTACCCATAATCCTGAGAAAAGCCCTGCACATGATACTTACCTTATTAAATATTTTCATGGGGTCATATCCTGTCTCCTGTGCCCAAATCCTTGTTGACTTCCTTTCTATTCCTCCTACTGTGTCTTCTTTGGCTTCACTTTGTAATGCCTGCTTCCCTGCATCCCCTAAGGGTATACATACTTCATATTCACAAGCACTTTGGCTAGTCACTGATGGTTCACAACAATCACATATTTGGCAAAAAAAAGTTGCAGCAAATTTACAAGAGCATATTTTTAGTGCAAATATATTTTATCTGGATCAAAGTCATTATCTTCTGACAGATATGCTATTCTAGACATAGGTTTTTTGTATGTGTATAAACGATCTCCATTCTTAATACACTTATCAGAACATGATTAATGTCAACAACAAAGTAAAATACTGTAAATCTACAATTGTTGTTAGGCTTGGTCAAAAAATAGTTCAGGGCTGAATGACCTTTGCATATGACCAAATTAATTCACTTCAATATTTTGTGATTCTTAAATAACGAATTCAGTAGTTTTCAATAGCATGAACACATGCATGCACACACACACACACACAAACAAACACACACACACACATACATTGTTCCACATATCTGAACATTACCTGCCAGTTCTGGGTCTTCGGTATCTGGAGAAACATCTTCATCTGGGTCAGCCTCCCCAAATAACTGGCTGCAATGTAAAACAAATTCACTGAAACTTTAACAGAATATATAAATTTTAACAAATGTGAGTTAAGTTAAGTTTTCTACAGTCAGTTTTAACAATGTTGCAGTTACAGCTGAAAGCTTGGATGTCTGCTGATGTCATTTACCATCCTAATTTAGAACCGATGAAAAAATGCCAAAAAATTTCCTAAGTGTGCTAGTCAGTACAGTTCAAGTTCGTAGTATAACAAAGTTATGAAATCTTTTTCAAAAATAATTATTTTTTTTTATCATATGACAACTGTTTTTCACTGCTCTTCTCAGATTTATTGTTTCTATTCTTCTTACTTGAACAAGTGTTTAGCCCACACGATGCAGTGAATGGGCTCGGAGGGCGTGTTTCTAATAGTGCATCCTGGGAAGGTTTTCTGATGTGGTTTAGGCTGACATTCATAGCATTCAGTCAAACCCTGGAAAAAATATCATTTCAAAAATAATGCAACAAGAATACAATGTAAATAAAATAAATAACAAAAAGAACAAGTTATCTATAGTACAGTTCTTCACGTCTTTTTCCAGCATTCTGATCTACTTTCAAATGTCCAACACTCATCTGTTTTCCTGCCAAAAGAGATGGGGTAGTCACATACATTTTAAATGACTGTGACCTGTCCCAGATAACCTGCTGTCCCACTCTCCACCAGTAGTCACATACCTTTATAATGACTGTGACCTGTCCCAGATAACCTGCTGTCCCAATCTCCACCAGTAGTCACATACCTTTTTAATGACTGTGACCTGTCCCAGATAACCTGCTGTCCCACTCTCCACCAGTGGTTTGTCTGCAGCCAGACACATCCTGTTCACATGGTTACGGGCAGCTGGAGTAAGGAAAACAGATCACGGTGAGTCCATATATGAGCAACAGACAAAACACAATCAAGCAGACAAACACAGCACAGACAAAACACAATGTAGGGCAACTAATGGGTTCCTGAATCTAAAAAGCTAGATTTTGTTTGGAAACAATTAATCAGTGCACTAATTAAGGTACAGAATAATAAATTAATCAGACCCTTTTTGTAATGAAACAAACAACACACAAAAATGGGGTGGCACTACCTCTGTTATCCAGTGCATTCAGAACCACATCAAACTGCTTGAAAAACTCTGTATCATACTCTGTGCTGAAAAGACAACTAACAATTTAAAATGATCTCTTCAAAATACTTTATGCAGGTTTGTATGATTTCACACTAGCAACCTTTTTTTACTATATAAATGCATATATATTTTAATGAATAAGTTATTGATTGGAAAGGTTTCAATACATAAAACTATTATTTTAAGCACTTGGCAATTATTTTGTATGTGCATGATTAACCTCTTGACTTGCACATCTTAACACAAACAACTGAAACAACAGAAAGAATTGCCATTTGTAATTAGGCATGAATCATAAATGTATAAAATTTCAGACTTAATTAATTACTTATCATGAATTTTAAACCTGCTACAGATTAACTTGGTTTTTAACAATGTATATAGATCTTCCAGCTTCACATTTAACGCAAAAAAAAATTTATAGTGTTTTCCATATTTTTGTCCTTACCTCATCACACTATCATGATAAGCTTTTATTTTTCCATCTGGATTAAACTTAAGGGCACTTTCTCTTGCAACCTGAATATGACAGAACAATAATTAATTAATGTTCACAGAAAAACAAAGTTTTAACACTTGAATGCTTGCTGCGAAGAATCAATTCAGTGTCAAATTTGGCATTTAGTGGCAAGCTTTCAGTAGGTCGCCATATTTGATCCGCAGATCTATTAGTCCGCTGTTCTGAATGCGCTTTAATAGGTGACTCTCTTACATGACTACAAGACTCTCTCTCTCAAAGTGTACTGGTGCAGACTTTATGGCTTAAGTATCCCCCTCAACTAAAAAAGTTCAAAACTTTAGTGTTATGTAGAACAACAAACCTGAAGTATAACTTTAGAGGACAAACTACGTACCTGTGCCTTGGACTTTCCCACATGTTCCTTTCTGAACAGAAACTGGCGGTTCAAATTGCTAACATCTATGGTATCAAGATCAATCTGAAATGGATCATTTATAATTGAATTACTCATAATATTTTTCACATATATCCCAAGTAAGTTGGGATGGTTTCCCACCAGAAGCAAACTCTTAAATGATCACAAGAGCCAAGCCAATTCTACCACATCCAATTCTAAACAGTATCTCGTTTCCTGGCTGTTGAATAAAAATTGTGCCTACTTCCCATATTCTGAAGTCTGTTGATGCTCACTTCAACCCCCTCTGTGTGCTAGCTGCTTGTCATTTTACAGTTATACAGGGCTCAACACAAAAGGTTGTCCGCTTGCCCAGGGCAACTAAAATCTGCCGTCGGACAAGTAAATTTTTACGTCCAGTTGCCCGGCTGGCAAGTGAATTTTTTTCCTTTGGTCAGTACAATGTTAGATCTGATGTTGAAAGATTGAAGCATTTCACATGTTTTTCCCTTTTGGCTCAATAACATCACAAACTGTAACATACGTCAATGCCAGATTTCTGTATTCTAATGCATGCACAGCTTTCACTATCTCCGTCGGCAGTGCCTCGTTTTCAGAGTGCTGTCATATTCTATAATTTGAAGTATTTAGTCAAACTAAAACGAGGCAAGTTGTTCTTGGAAACATTTAGCCACGTGATTTAAGTTAAGAAGGCTCTCTCTCTCACATTTATTTGGAACTTTCTGTATTGGTTGGGAAATATTTAGAAGCATATAATTTCCAAGCTTTAACCACGAAAGAAGTGGAAAATAAGCAGTCACACTGCTGCTAAGTGAGAGTTTGCAGGGACCAGCTTGTGGTGGTTTTGACCAGTTAGCAGACAGCTGAACTGCTTCTGTAACTGATAGAGATTTCCCGGACTTGAAATGCATATAGTTTATATATTTAGCAACAATTTCAGGGAGAAACAGGAGGAATAGTAAGCTTCCTTAAAGTATGGACATTATAATTGATGAAGTTGGATAAATATGTTAACTTTTTGCACCCACCTAATAAAAGCAGTGTACTACACAAATACTTGTTTGAGGGAGCCAGTGAGCACTTGTCAGTATCCAGACAGTGTGGCACTGATCATGGTCTGTCACAAGCATTTCAGAGGGCTTTGTTGACCTAGTTTTTATGACACTTTAATGAATGTGGAAGTCTGTCTAGGGGTATGTTTTGATCTCCTCTACATTTTAAATCATTGGCTTTACTGTTTATTCACTGAAAAGGGATTTTGATACCACAGTTTTCTTAGTTAAAATGCCACCAATCCAATACTTGGCTTCAAAAATTTCCATGGAGGAAGAGGAGAAGGGGGATCCTCATTCTAGCATTTGTAGGTGCTAAGTATGCAATTCTTTATTAATGAATTTTTTATCATGCTTAGCTTAACTTCATTTACTCCTCAAGACATATGAAAAAAGACAATTATGTCACTGTGCCACATAAAATGTTGAAAAAATTGTTCAAAATAGCCTAAAATGCACCAAAGTGCACCTTGATTGAGTGCAGAAAAGTGTTATGAAGTAACCAGTGGCATTTTAGATTTTACTGTCAAATTATCATTTGTGTAATTCGGTGTTGTCAAGGCAATCCTACTATATATTAAAGTGAATTATATTAAGATTAATTTTTGAAGTTTCAAAGTACTGTTTCTCTTCTATTAATTTTATCAACTGTTCTGCAGAAATAAAGAAATGTTTTTTTTATAAAAAGAAAAAAAAAGAAGTTGGGGATAGTGACCGACCTATCTATACTTGATGAGTGAATGTAAAAGAGTTGGTTCTTGTAAGAGCATATTTTATAAGTAACAATGTTATGTCTATCAGTCACCATCCTGAGGAGTGTGGGCATTGCAACATTTATGCACTTGTATTCTTATAGATATCCTAATTTTATGCTACATCATAGTGGAGGTGTACCTTTTTTCTTTCGTTTAGAATCTGTGACAAATTTGAAATTTTAGTGATGTGCATGACAAAATGTGACATTCCATCAATCAACTTGCTCATGGAGAAAATAAACAACTCAAAGATGACAAAATTGACAAAATTGATTTTTTTTATAAATCAATAAAATTTAATGCTTCAAATGAAAAAAAAACTGCATATCAAGTGGTTTAAAATTTTTCACTAATAATGGGCAAGTTGAGGCAGAGGAAGGGCAAGTAAAAATATCTGGCAGGTTGCCCTGGGGCAACCTGGCTAAAAAAATTATGTTGAGCCCTGTTATATGCAATTATATCTTTCATGGATGCCCTAGCATACATAGAACATAAAAGAGACCAGAAATTGAACAGGTAACACATTAATTTTTATGCTTCACCTGAGGTTGCTGTAAAGTTATCACAAATTACTATCAATATCGTAAATGACAATCACATATATGACATAAGGTATGTGTTTTCAAACAGTTCATCATATAAGGGATAAAACAATGCTTACGACCTAACGATAAGCAGGAACATAAATTTCCTGTTTAAAATAAGTAGCTTTAATAATTTGTTTCTACATTTTATTGTTTGTCACTAATACTCCAGTCTGGCATTGTCTTTGTTAATTATAACCCGCACAATGACATGTATCACAAAGCGAAATTTGAGGTTGATCAAAAGGGAAATTATGAGGATGTACAGCATTCTTACCACTTCTATGTCTTTAAAACCAGTGAGAACTAAATTCTTTAGGAGTTCGCAGCCGATTCCTCCTGCTCCAACGACAAGAATGCGAGAAGACTTCACTTTTTCCTGAAGATCGTCGTTCAGCACGCCTAGATCAGCAGCCATTTTCCGGTTTTGCGGTGCAAACCATTTCTCACTGCTGATTCGCTATTAAAAGAGTAAATAAAATTACACGATAAAAGTATGTAAACTAGATCGTATGCAAAATATGTTACCCAAACTGTAATGAAATAGGTGATAAGGTGTCATATTTCGACTGATATAAGTGATAAATTGATTTACAAGCTCAGCAAAATTAACCTCGTTTTCAATAGGACTTTGAACTGACATATATTTATTTCAAACGAGACCATGTTTTGGAGAATGGTGTGATAAAGCTGGCTACAGACCGCTGATGTGACATGTGAGGCCTATAAAAATGGTTTCAGATACCATTTCAGGCCAGCATCTAATTGTCAAACAACACACACACACACACACACACACACACACACACACACACATATATGCAGACAAACAAATAAATAAAAGGCATGCAAAATGCAGTAGATCTATATACATAACAATATGTAATTTATATATACATAACAATATGTAAAATATGGAAATTTCAAAGAAAATAACGATATACCAACAAAGCTGTATGTTTTATTGTCGTGATAAGTCACTTGTAGGGCCTACCCATTTTGGCCATGCAATATTTTCATCAACATCGTTTTCTCAAATATGGAAAATTTATTATTATTATTTTTTTATTATTATTATTTCTGTGAAAGTGCAACCGTTTTTCACTACTCGGCGACTTTGAAAAACGCCGACGGATGAATTGCATACAAAACCAACCAAATGCCAGGATATAGTTTCAAGTAGTAAAACTAAGAGAATTACCAAAAGGCATTGATTAATTTTACCCGAAAGTGATGTTTGAACAGATTTTTCTGCTAGCATTCCATGCTGTATGTCAATGGGGCAGAAAAGTACAGTAGGTCACGAAAGTAGGTTAAATTTCCAACCAAAAATTTAAGGAAAGGAGCAGTCTAAAGCTCTTTTATGGCTGATCGGGTGATTTATTCAGTTTATCCCTTGGCATGTCGAATTTATTAGAGTCGTATAAGAAACTAGTAGAAGTGGTTTACATGTGTTAC